GAGTCTCTCAGGGTCTAAATTAAGAGGTGGTTTTCTTGAAACAAAAGAGTGTGGATTATCTACTCAGCTAACTCAGATGGCAGAAAATGAAACTAATCGTTTTAGGGCTTTGGAGGCTTGTGTTTGCAGTCAGAGGGGAAAGATGAGAGTATGAACCGGCCATAATGATATCCACATCCGGTAACCAGCACCGGCTTGATTAACTATAGGTCTTTGGACCCCCTTCAAGGAACTTCTGTAAAGTGAAGGAACTTTATACTTAAGATGTGAATATTCTATGAACTCATAACTTTTCCAGTTGAAAAGTACATTTCAAAACAATCTCCCAGGGTTCAGTAAGAGGGCTTGGCATTTGCTCCCAAGCCTGACCACGGGAGTTTGATCCCCAAGACACATATGGTGGGAGGAGCTAACTAGAGCTGACCTTTGCAGCACACCACACATCCAACATTGTTTTTTAAGAAAATCTGCCTTTCTCCCATCTTCAGGCCGTCCGTCTCCTTTACTCCAGCCATCATTTCCTTTGCCTTGCAGAAGCTTTTTTTTTTTTTTTTTTTTTTTTAACTCCATTGAACCTTTTTTGTCAATTCTTGCTATTTTGTCCTGGGTTATTGAAAACCTATTCTGAAAACCATTGCCTGTGTGTGTATCTTGAAGTGTTTTCCATATGATTTCTTCTAGCATGCTGATCTTTCATGGCTCATTAAGGGCTTTGACAGCTTGAATTGATTTTTATAGACAATAGAAAGGGTCTAGTTTCAGCCTTCTACATGTGGCTAGCTTCTCTTCATAGACCCATTTGTGGAGGAGGTGTCTCCTGTCTAGTTTATGCTTTGGGTACCGTTGTCAAGAATCGGAGTTTATTTCTGAGTCCTCTGACGTGGTCTCCGTGACTACTTCTGTGACTGTACAATATTGGTTTGTTACTATGGCTTCCTAAATCAGATATCATGCTGCGTCCAGCATTGCTCCTTTGGCTCAGAATTGCTTTGGCTATTCAGAGTCTTTTGTGCTTCTACTTGAATTTCATGTTTCTTTTTTCTAGTTCTGTGAAGGATATTTCTGGAATTTTGATGGTATTTGATATAATTTGATATGAACTCAAAAAGTTAAGCACTGGAACATAAATTTAAAAATCTGTTTTCAGTAAAAAGAAAAAAAAACAATCAGTACATGAGCAAGTGAATTAAAAAAAAATAATTCTCAAAAGAAGTACAAGCAGCCAATAAAAACACGGTGGGGGAAACACCTCAATTCCTTGACTGTAAAGGAAGTCAAATTAAAACCACGCCAAGATTCCATCTCAGTTCAGACAGAATGACTACCATTAAGAAAACAAAAATACTTTCAAGATTGCAAGGGATATCAATACTATGGAAACAATGTGGAAAGTCCACAAAAACTAAACATAAAGGCAAGTAAGATGGCCCAGCAGTTGTCATGTGTTTGATGACCAGAGTTCCATCCCTGGGACCTACCTAAAGGTGGAAAGAGAAACCTGTGTTCCATTAAAGTTTTCCTTTTGCCTTCGAACATGTGCCATGGCCTGCATTCCCTCCCCTCACAAATCACACAAACACACACACACATATACACACACTAACTTTTTTAAAACCAAGAGTGGCTAACACATGATCCCGTTATATACTCCTGAGCATATGCAGAGGACTCAGAATCAGCATACAGTAGAAATATCTGCACATTTATAGTTTATATAATAACTAAACTATAAAATCAGTCTAGAGGCCCACTGGTGGATAGATGGGTAAAGACAATATGTATGTGTGTATTTGTGGGAGATTCTTTAACCACAAAAAAATTAAATTGTCATTTCTAAGGAAGTAGATATGGAACAATAGATATGAATCACTTTTAGTGAGATCAGCTAGACTGAATGGCCAGAGTTTCTGGTAAGGGGGTTAATATGGCCAAAGTACTTTGGGTAGGTGTATGAACACGTCATGACAAAACCCATCACTTTGTGCAAATAATGTGCACTAATATTGTTAATTTTATCTTAAAAATTAATTTTAACAAGTTTTAATTGGCACAGGATTACGCCAGTTTTCTGCCTCCCTTTCCTCACTTTAGCCCCTTCAAGTGCCTGCCTTCCAACCCCTCCCATGTCTCCCACATTTTCATATGATTATTATTGTCAATTACATATATGGGAGTGTGTGTATATGCACAAATATAAAAATATAACTTGCTGAGTCTGTTTTTGTTGTTTCCATGTATGTGGTTTCAGGTGCTCCTCCCTGAGGGGGCTAATTTTCCTTCTCCCAGCAGTCGCTAGTAACATTTTAAAGGCAGCTGGAGAGAGGTCCTGAATGCATGCGACTCTTCCAGAGGGAACCCAAGTTCCTCATCAGCTGGTTCATAATCACCAGTAACTCCAACCTCACGGGACTCTAATGCCGCTGTCCTCTGCAGACACCAGCACCAGCACGGGTGTGCATTCCCCTGCTCCCCCCTCCACAAAATACATATTTAAAGTAATAAAAATCATTTTTAAAAATAAAATACATTTTAAGAACTTAACTTTCCCCTTAAGGAAAAAATATTAATTGACTTACTTTGCTCATTACCAGAAAAGTACAATTATTTTTATTACTTTTGTTTAGTTATAATCAATATACTCGAGAGAACAACTTAAAGCATTTAGTCTAGTTCACTGTTTCAGAGGGTTCAGTAAAAGACACCATGACAAAGTATATATATATATACATATATGTATGTATATGTATATATATACATACACACACACACACACACACATATATATATATTACTTAATGGCAGACACAAATCAGAGAGAGGAACCTTCAAAGACACATACCATCAGCCCCACTACATAAAGCCAGGCCCATGTTCAGTAAAGTTGTCACATCTTCCAAAATAGCACCACCAGTTGTGGGTTAAGCACGTGACACACAAGCTTTGGGAATAATATCTTATTTTAGCTATAAAACAATTTTTGTATGATATCATTTACTAAATCTGTGTAAAAGCCTAGGCACTGTGTAAGCTGAGTAAAATGAAAAGATGAACAAGAAAAAGTTCTGTGTCTAAAGAGTTCATCATCTGGTGAGAGAGATATCTGGGGAAATCAATAATTGCAATATAGTTCATTAAGTGCTGTGATATAAGTAAGAGTTGAGAACAAGGATTCTAAAACCTAGCTGAGTGTGGAAGCACATGCTTTTTGTTTTGTTTTAGTTTTTCGAGACAGGGTTTCTCTGTAACTTTGGAGCCTGTCCTGGAACTCGCTCTTGTAGACCAGGCTGATCTTTTCAAACTCACAGAGATCCACCTGCCTCTGCTTCTGCCTCCCAAGTGCTGGGATTAAAGGCGCGTGCCACTACGGCACGGCAGTAGCACAGGTTTTTAATCCCAGCATTCAGGGGGCAGCGAGCAACAAATCGCTTGAGTTCAAGGCTAACTGGTCTACCTGGCGAGTTTCAGGAGAGCCAGGGCTACATAGTGAGACCCTGTCTCAAAAACAAAAACAGAACTCAAACCTGAATGAACATTAGAATTTTCTGAGGATCGCACTAAAAATTACATTTGTTTTGCCTTATTTTCAAAGACTTTGATTTAAATCACCCGAGGAGTGACCACGTGCTATGCTGTTTTTCAGAGCCTTACTGGGAGATCCCAGTACACAGTAAGGATTAAAATCACTGGGATAGAAAAAGATAACAAACTTAGTTTTTTAGAAAAATGGGAGCTAGCATAGGAATGCATACCTTTATTTCAAGTACTCCAGAGTCTGAGGCAGGAGGATCTCTGTGAGTTTGAGGACAGCCTGGTTTACATAGCAAGTTCCAGGAGAGCCAGGGCTACTTAGCCAGACCCTATCTATAAATAAATAAATAAATAAATAAATAAATAAATAAATTGAAAAGAAAGAAAGGAAGAAAAGAAAAAGGAGAGATAGTTCTGTAGATAAAATACTTTTGCACACAGAGACCCCATGTCCCAAGAACCCATGTAGAGCCAGATGTGGTAGTGTGTATCTCTGTTCCCAGTATTACCGCAGTAAAGTGGGAAGTGGAGACAGGAGAATTGCCCAGAAGCTCTCACACCAGTGAGCCTTGTCCCTGCAACAGTGATGAATAACACAGCCTGTCTCAAACAAGGTGGAAGTTTGGCCTCTGACCTCTACACGTACACCACAGCACATATGCACACTCACACAGAGGTAAAAGAAAAATGGGCAGTTTTCAAGAAAACCAGGAGAGAAGTGCCTTTCAGCTTTGTACCTAGAATTCATGATCCTTCCAGGGAGCTGCAAGCAGTTCTGTAGAGCTTACTATATAGGCTTGCGAGGAAAAGGGATGCTGTGAAAGGGGAGATTGGAGAGCTAGGCAGGAGGCAGAGCAACTATTGTCTGGGAAGGATTTGGACTTCATAATAAAAGTGGTGGGGAGCGACGTGATCTCATTTCTCTTGTAGAAAAGAAAATAGTTTCTGTGGTATTGTGAAGGATGGATTAGAGAGCCTGGAAGCAGGAAAGCCAGTCAATAGACTATGGTAACTCAGGCAGAAAAGGAGGCCTAAAGTAAAAATGTAATACCAGGGAGTACAAGGTATTCAAGGACTAGGTAACAAGAAAACAGAACCCACGAAGCAATATGATGTGAGAAAGTAAGAGCCACAGAGGATATAGTTTCTTTATTTTTCACCTAAAGCTTACTTGTCAGCAATGAATTAATTATGTCCGGGGTAGAAAATGTCTTTCTGTGAACTTAACTATAACCAATGTGATTTGAATCCAGTCATTTGATCCAAAATTTGCCAACATACTTAGAGGCTATTTACAATACCTAATGACTGAAGTTCCAACTCGCTTAGGGACAGAAATGCAACATTTCTCCCCCCAGATTGGTGGTAGACTGGGAAAACATATCTAAAATAAAGGTTTGAGAGATTTTAATGCACAGAAATGGCTGTACCTAGTCTTTAACTCTGTCCAGAGCAGATGGAGTGGAAGTCTTCTAATCCTTCAGAACTTCATCTGGCGCTGACCTCAGAAAAAAGAGCCTTTCTCCTGCATCATCAGACTGACCTTCTCTAGTTCCTCCTTGTTGTTCTGTATAGTTCTTTGATCCTGGGGTTCTCTTTAAAAGAGGAGAAGAGCAAGAGGAGAAAAGCTAAAATGAGTGTTTTTGCAAATCTAAACAATAATAAATTGGTTTGCATTTTAAATGCATTGCAGAGCTGGAGTTGCTGCCCATGCTCTAGCCCTTGGCTGCCATGCACAAGGCCATGGTTGGATCATCAGCATGGCAAAAGTAGATCAATAAATGTATAAACAAGGAAATGTACTGCAAAAATCTATATCCATTATCCAAGCCTTTTAACATTGGAGATGTATTTTTTTTTTTAAATAAAGAAAAACTGTTCTCTCACCACGGTGGGCTCATTTCTGTTGGCTGTTGCTCTCTCTGTAGTTGTACCCATTTTACCTGAAGGAAAACATTTGGAAAATGAGGGCTATTCATATTCATCATGGCATTACTTAATTGTATAACTATAGAAGTAATGATAGCATTGATAAGAATTTTCAATTGTTTTATAAAATAACAGTATATTAAAGTTGGGGTGGTAGGGATTTTTTTCTATAGAAAGCTTATGTCCTACAGTGGAAAACTCATTATTTGAGAATTACATGTAAATAAAAACGGAGAGTCTACAGAAATGAACCTCTAACATTTTATATTACTGTGATAGCCCAGACATGAAGGTGGGGGCTCAGAAAGAGAAAGAAGAGCAGGGAGAATGAGTGATACAGGATGAAATGAGGGGCAAGAAGAGAGAATTATAGGGTACTTCACAGTAAGCATGTCAGGGTTAGGGCTAAACTAGAGGAACCCTGTTAAATTTGAATTTCAGTATACACCAGTAATTTTTAGTACACGTTCCATGCAAAATTTGAGACACTGATAATAATTATTCATTGCTTAGCTGAAGTTCAAATCTGTCTCTTAAAAATAAAAAAAAAGAAAGAAAACATCCTGCTCCTCTCCTGAGCAGGTTGAGTCATTGTCACCCATTAAAACTGTCTTCCTAAGGCAGCAGTTTACTTTTTAAATTTTTTACTAAAGTCATAGTTAGAAAAAAGACTGACTTTATTCTTCCTGTCTGAAGTTCTGTGAAATTTTATGGAAAACAAAAGAAATTACAAATTAGTTTCATCACCTTTTAATACCACAAATACAATTTTATGTTTAGAAGGTTCGGGTTGCCTCAAAGCTTATAGAATATTTAAGAGCAATACTTTTTTTTTTGTGAAAGATCTAGATTGAGTCAGTTGTGGCTTCTGCCTCTGCCTCCCGAAGTTTTAGGCATCGGGATGAGAAATTAATGAAGTGAAGTAAAGGTAAAAGGTGAGAGGAGGAACTTGCTTTCAGAACAGAGGGTCAGCGAGTAAATAAGTTCTCAGGCACATTCATTTTCCACTTCACTGGGCTTCCATGTCAGTTTACAAATGTAGCATAGCATCTACACAGCCTTCAGGTTCTCCTAAGGAGAATCCTCTGTTCTCAGAAAGCTCGAAAAATGCTAAGAGCCTGGGCTGTGGGAGAAAAAGACCGTCACAATCAAGTAGTTTATCCCAGCTAGGTTATCGCTGAAGACAAATCCTTAATTCTTTAAACACCAGTGGGTGTGATTGGAAGTTCATCTGAATTTATAGATTTCTTAGTGCTTGTACTTTCTAAGATAGGTGACAGGCAAAGGCCACAAACAGCAGTTTTGAGATCATTCGAGTCAGGCTGTAAGGGCTGACACAAACCCTGAACCAAATTATAAGAAGCAAACTCCTTCACTTGTGACCTGTCTGGGGGAGGGGATGGGGGAAGGAAAGACTTATCTCTGAGTGAAAACAACAGAAACATTTTCTTGGAGAAGATCAGATGCAGCCCAGAGATAAGACTTTTGAAGATGTTAAGTCCCAGGTTTCATGGAATTCCCCAAATAGGGATTGCTTGAACTGTAACAAAGTCTCTAGTATTTGCCAAAAGACACCATTAACTCAGCCAGGCTGCACACTGAACAGTGGAGGAGGGACTTTTGGCCAAGACCAGTGGAGCCAAACTTCCTTGTACTTGGAAATATCTGAAAAGAAAGGACTTGTGCTTGCCTGCATAGCCTAGGAGGTGTGTCCAAAATGGCACGCCACTCTTCCTCTAGGACAAGTTTACGCAATTCAATTCTTTTGAAACCAGAGGAACCAGAACACCCATCCAAGAGGGCTATTAAGTACTTAACCTTCAAGTAGTCCTTGTGTAATAGCCCAGCCCATTTTTACTTCATCGCCCTAATTGCCTGATTTATTTGTAGCAGAGAGGAAAAAGTGTTCGACAAGAATTATGGAGGAAGTAGGCAATTGCTTTTGTTTTTTTTCTTTGTTTGGAATGGGGTGAACTATAGTTCAGGGAGGAGAATAATAATAGTTAAGACTTGTACAACAGAACACCGAGTTTAATGTTTAATCAAGGCTGCCAGTAATACATCTTGGTGCCACATAGCATGGCACAAAACATCAATAGGCTCTTTTCTTCGTTTTTCATTTGGTATATGAATGGGGCACATTTTGTCCTAAGGGTAATAGAAAGCCAGTCTCTTACAGCATTTCCCATTTCCTGAATTACCATTTATTATGGACTTGGCTTAGATGTGGTTGGTGCCACCTACCGGACTAAATATATAATTACAGGCCTCCCAACCCATTTGTAAACACTCTCTAAACAGCCTTAGGGAATATTCATTTCTTCATTGGGAGGATGCTACTATAAATAGCTAAGTTTGGATTCCCATCACAGTTTTCAGAACTGGAAGAGGCATAAGAAATCAAACCTTAACATTGCCATTGTATTGTTCGGGCCAGAATCCCAGCTTTACCTACCGACACAGAAGCCTGACTTTCAGAGTCATTATAAGGGTTACACAAAGTGAGAAGCTTTAAATGAGCCCTGTTACATGTGATGGCTGTAAATATTAGATACAGAAAAATTGAACTCAACCTGCCCATGTCGTGTAAGAGCTACAATACATATATCTATCTGACCCTAGAACCATGGCTTTTTCCATTAAATGAAAACTTCTCAAAATTTGGTAGTGAAATAATTTTAGGTGACACCTGTGATAAATTTAAGAGGTTGTATAACATGGCTTTAAATCCTGTAATTCACAGTGGGGGAAAGTTTTTTTCTTTTTTTTTGAAGCAAACTCTCGCCCCCAGGCTGGCCTTGCCCTTTTGTGCCTGATGCCTCACATCCTACATGCTGGGATTATAAACAGGTGTTTCTGCACCTGGCTCACTTATTGCCTTTCCAATGCACGGAGGAGTCTCGAAAAACCAAAAAAAAAAAAAAAAAAAAAAAAAGGGTTAAAGTTGGTCCTGTTTTTTTTTTTTTTTTAAATGAACTGTCTTGTTAATTTTATTTTCCAATAATGATAAAAACAGGTTCCAGGCTTGACCATCTCTCTAGAATAATTTTTTTTGTTTGGTTATTATTAAATTTACTTGTGAAAACGACATTGTTTTGTCATTTAGTGACACAAATTTTGTGCCTGTTCATGGAAGCTCACGCCTGTAATACTGGCTCTTAGGAGGCTGACGGAAAAGAACCACTGTGAGCCTGAGGACAGCATGGGCTACACAGTAATTTCCAGGCCAGCAGGGCTACAGAGTGACATCCTGCTCTGTTTTGTTTTTGAACTTTTTTTTTTCAAGAAATGCAGGTATGAAAATGAAATCAACCTGAGTAGCAAAAATGAAGAAATAAAAAGCAACAGTTTAAAGAAGTTGAGAAACAGTAATGCTACCACATTACTTTCCCACTCTTGATAATGATACATTTATTTAACAATTCTCTCATTGTCCCTTTGTTTTCTGTTGTTGTGAGAAACATTCTAATCAAAAGCAACTTGGGGGAAGGAAGGGTTTATTTGGCTGACAAGTCCCAACCACAATCTATCATGAAGGGAAGTCAGGACAGGAGTTCAGGGATGAAAGCAGAGACCATGGAAGGCTGTTGCTTACTGGCTTGTTCTGCCCACTTTCTGATATAACCCAAGACTCTCTGTCCATGGGTAGTGCCATCCACAGAGATTGGGCCTTCCCAAATCAATCATTAATCGAGGCTCCAAAAGACTTAAGGCCAATCTGATGGAGACATTTTTCTCAGTTGAAGTTTTCTTCTCCCAGATGACCCTAGCTTGTGTCAAGTTGACAAAAAACTAATCACCATAAGAACTAGCACTTCTGGGTTTCTTATAATAAAAAATAGAGATTATAAATAAATCAACATAACCAAAATCTATGACTGTTAGATTTCAGATCCATTTCGGCTCAAACCAAAGGATTCTGAATATGTGTAGACGTCTAGTCTCTGCTCAGTGAATACAGAGTAAATCTTGGGACTGCTGGATGGATCCTGCCTGTGGCTGCGGTGATACGTGGTGACTGAGCACTGTAGAACCCTACTCTTCATTTGTTAGACATGAAAGAGAAGAGGAAGTATGGATCTGTGGGCTGCCCCAGTTCAAACTGATCGTGTGTTCTGTGAGTGTGTAGAGGAGTTTCTCGAGGCACGCAGCTCGAATGGAATCACTAATGGAAGACTGACTTATATCTGAAATTTAAAGAACTGTTTCCTTACTATGTGGATCCCTTGAGGTGATCTTTGACTAATTTTCAATGACATAAAAACACAGCTGTCTGTTTTCCTCATACTTCTTGGCTTTTGAAATTTCCATATTAATGACTTACTGCCTCCAGGCTCTTTCTTTCCAACTTCCTGCTGTCCAGTTCTTCTCAAAATATAAGTAGAAAGAAAAAGAGTGTGGAACTCTGCCTGGGGATATGTAGTCCATCAGTTTTCTAGGTTTTCCAGATTTTACCTATTGAAGAAGATAGAATGTGCTGTGTGCCTGAACCAACTTGCTGCATTCTATTAAAAAATTTCACAATAATGACTTGTTAACTATTGTATCAAGGAGCAGATAAGACACAGTCTAGGGATTTATATTCTGGATTCATGGAAATATTATTGAGGATATTGACAAGCGACATTGTATAGGAAGTCTTGTCCCCTTTGTGGAGGCCTGTGGGAGATATTGCTCTCAGGTCTCAGTACCATGAAAACCTGTATTTGTCCTAATCAACTGGTTTGCTGTCACTTCATGAACACTAGCAATCATGTTTTCTGGCAAATTCAGAAACAAATTTATAACCTACCTCTACTAACTAAATAGCATTTCTATCCTACATTATCATGTTCTGACAGAACGTCCTTTTCCTTTGACTTGCTCATCTATTTATTTAATCATATGTGTTGTATGTTATTTTTATAAGACATTCAAGTCCTTTATGGACTAAGACCAGGAAGAAATTAGATACATACATACATACATACATACATACAGACATACAGACAGATACTGGAAAAGCATTGCCATTCTTGGGGTAGGATTTCTCATGCATGTCTCTTCTCAAAAATAAGAGTTCAGATTAATAGATCCTTGAAAATTTAAAGATATTTTCCCTACCCATCATAGCCATTATTTTACTTTGTATAAAATATTATGATTTCCAATGATATTATAACATCTTTAGGGGAAATCACTGTCATTCCCAGAAATACATCTGAATTAGTGAACTCGGAATCTTTGCCTACTATCTCCTACACTTTTGCTTTGAAGTAGCAGTATATCCAATATGACTTACGAGACCAGTTCTAGTTCTTAGGATAGGGGAAAAGGTGAAAGAAACATAAGTATTTTTGAATGTCAACAGTTATTGGTGTAGGAGGGTCTTCTTTCTATGTGTTGCTAATGGCTCAGCACTCTCTGCCTGGACAGGCTGCAGAATCAGGTTTACTAGGCGTGCACGGAGGGTTTCTGCTACCATACAGAGAGATGTTTCCAGTTTGTGCAGTGCTCTGCCTGGCAGATTTGGCTGTAACTCAGATAAAAAGCTCATTCTCAGAGTTAAAGTGCTGAGTGTGGCTCCTACCTGGCGGCCCCAGAGCTAGCAGAAATGGTATGTTCACCATTTTAAAATTGGAGAGAGGTGGAGCTAACATCCAGAGCAGCCCACCACTCCTTGGCCCAGAGACACAACTGACTCAAAGGCACAAGCGGTTCCACCGAGTTGGACTGAATGGGGCAAGCAGGCAGTACCGGTATTTGACCTGGGATTGTCACAGCTTAGATTCTTAAGAGCTTAGCATTTTAAAAGCTCTTCAAGACAGTAGAGAATTAAAGACAATGCAATAGGACAGGTTCAGACATAAAAAACCTCTAAATGGGTCATAGTTTTAGATAGACATATGTAGGCTTGGGAAAGAGAAGAAAAAGAGTATTAAAAAGTCATAAAGTTAGTGCTTTTTAAAAAAAGGGTAAAGTCTTTAAAGAGACAGAGTACAGATAGTTGTAGATTAAAAAAATAAGCCACATAAAAATGGAAAATTCACAAAGAGTCTGGATTCTCTGCATTACTGTATTTTTTTTAATTTTTTTTTGACTATAAAGGAGCTAAGTACAGAGGCACATCTCATTGTGTGGGCTACTAAGATAAACCAGAATGTATATTATAAAGGTATTATGACTTCAGAATTTGGTTCTAAGGATATGATGCTTTGGAAAATAGGTTCTTCTTTTGTTTTCACAGAAGATGAGAACTTGTGGATTGCTTCTAGACCAATAATATGGTTTCATGGTTTCTGTAAATACCCTCAAAAAATTACTTCACTCAACTGCTGACTGAGATGAACCTAGCAGACAGGTTATACCATGAAAGACCCGAATAACAGTGCCCCCATACAGCACGAAGCAGTTTGGAGAGAAAAAACTATGCCCATATTCCCAAATATTGTTTATAAATGTTCTTTTACATTTAAAGGGAGATATGATATAGATAGGAATAATTTACATTGGTATAAAATTTGCTTTATTGATATAAATTTAAGGTCAATCCTGTTATATGTATATTTCTGCTCTTGATTAAGGCATTGTGATTGTGTAGATCATTTAAAAATATAATGTATAATTAGGAAATATAGATTGTTAATAGATAATAATTGATAATAGTCAAGCTCATAGTCATGTTGGTTAGATTCTATAGATATATAGAGATATATTTCAGTTAGATAGGCATTCTTCATAACTTTCAAAGACTTCAGAATATGGCATTTTAAATGTTTTAATAACTTAGGGTTTTCATGACAATGAGACACGTCTGCTCCTGGCAGCACCAGCTACTTCAAGAGGAAGATGGGCATTGAAGAGAATCCTTATGGAGTTTGATAGCCATGTGGGCAAGAAACCGCTCTAGCCTGGACTGTTGCATAAACTGGAAACAAAGAACCCACAGAGAGAGGACTGCTGACCTTGCCTAAAGGTGAAATGATCCTTCAGGGTTCCTGGTTCACGTCAGTGAGACCTTCTGTAGGACACAAAAGAAAGTGACTGAACTGTCGTTAAAATTTCCTGCTTCATGGAAATGTCTGCTAGATACTATGGGCCTGTAGGCTGAAGATGGATGCCCCAACAGTACAAAAGAACTTTGGATGACTGTCGAGGCAGTGAGATGTCTCTGTGATTTCTAGAGTTTTGGAAGTTGCTTATAATGCATTTCCTGTTTACTTAGGTAATATTATATCCTTCTAGAGTCTTTGATGGAGTTGGAGAATAGATAGATAGTTAGAGTTTTCCTTAGTTATGATAAAAGATAAAATAGATATAAATATTGTGACTGTAATTCTTGCTTGATAACTGTTTTGTTATATGTAATTTTACTATGTTAAAATGAAAGCCTTTCTTTTTGTTTAAACAGAAAAAGGGGAAATGGTGTAGGAGGGTCTTCTTTCTATGTGTTGCTTTCATTGGTCAAATAAAGAAATCACCTTGGCCTTTTGATAGGGCAGAAGTTAAATAGGAGGGGAAGAAAAGACTGGGTGCTGGGAGGAAGAAGGCAGTGTGGCAGATGCCATGGCTCTCCTCTCTGAGATGGACTCTGGTTAGACTCATGCCAGTAAGCCACAGTCAAATGGCAATACACATTAATGGAGATGGGTTAAACAAAATATGTAAGAGTTAGACAATAAGAGGTTAGAAATAATGGGCCAGGCAGTAATTTAATTAATACAATTTCCGTGTGGTTATTTTGGGGACTAAGCTAGCTAGGTGGTCGGGAGCCGGGCAGGATGCAGCCTGCTCCTGCTCCTCTTACTACAAGTTATTGTCTACATATACTAAGGATATGATATATTTATCTTTACAAAGGAAAGCTTAATTTCTTCCACAGAGACTTCTTATCTTAATACAATAGCTACTGAATACTGCTATTAATGATGATTGTGAAAAAAATGTTTCTACACATTTAACTTACACTGTGTGCCAGGCACAGAGATGATCACTGTTAATAATGGGACCTTCAGTGTAACAGAAAAAAAAAAACCCTCCAGCTATGTACCTCTGATACTCCACCCACCTTGAGGCCTTGGAAGATTCAAAGCGCTTTGCTTTGGTTCAAAATTGTGCTGTAGGTACAGTGATAATTTTAAGTCATTGGCCTTCTGATAGTTCCTTAAGGCTTCAATTCTCAGCTCAGTCACTTTCCATGAGAGCCATTCTGAAAGAGGATGTTTTTCAATACATTCACATAATACTCACTTTTCTAAATTTACTACTACCTGTGTTTTGTTGTACAGATGTTGAAAAACAAGCCCCTGTGTTTTGTCTTTTATTATTTATTTGTTTATTTTTGGTTTCTTGAGACAGGGTTTCTCAGTAACTATGGAGCCTGTCCTGGAACTCACTCTGTAGACCAGGCTAGCCTTAAATTTACAGAGATCTGTCTGCCTCTGCCTCCTGAGTGCTGGGATTAAAGGCGTGTACCACCACCACTTGCCATGTTTTGTCTTTTAAAGTTAGGAAGATGGTATTTGTTATATTCCCCCAATTTCAAATAGTACAAAGTAAAAACATGGGAAGAAGTATTAATTATTCAAGGTAAATCCAGAGATAGGTGACTTCAGCTCTCACCCACAATGCAGTTCTTTTAATATGCAATGGAGGATGTGAGAATTGGCCTTAACAATATAAAGTTAAAAGCTTTTACATTGTCTCAATAAATATATTCCATGTTCAGCCTTGGAAAAGCTTAGTACCTGAAGGATGTTAGGTTGTTCCTCATATTTGACCCATTTTATTTTCTTCTGTTGCTTTTCCTGATGGAAGAAAGACCTTCTGGGTGACAAAGTAAATTGAGATAAAAATCAGTTTTCTCAATATCCTGCAACAATTTATAGCAAATTATAGTATCATAGATTGGCTCTTAGACTGGTTTTTATTTCACAGTCTTCTTAATTTGACCTCCCCATGCAATGCATTCTCTAAAAGCTACGAGAGTTCATTTTCTGTGAATGATTTGTTTTGGGAAGATGAGATGCAAATGTAATATCTCTAAATAAATTTCCACGATAAATTAACAAGTGTTCTGTGTGCATGGAATTGCCATTGTTGGTATGGGTTTTCTCATTTTAGGATAGCTAACATGATTTTGCAGAAACCTGTGGTTCTGTCTTACACTAATAGTATCCCAAAGATACTACACTGCTTCTAAAGTTGGCATCGGTTTAGGAGCACACCACACCGAAAGCAGATTATTGATTAATTTATCAGTTGCAAAAGCCACTACTGCTCAGAGTGGTTGTGTGCCTGCCCTCCTTATCCCCTCTACTTTTTCTGCTTCTGATATTTCTGGTTCACTCCTGGCCTTCCTAAGTGATATGGGGGAATTCCAGAGCCTGACAGAAAACACGAGAGCTAAAGGGATAGATGATTCCAGATGGGAAAATGAAGTGTCTTGGCAGACTAGAAATCCATAAACCCTAAAAGTCCCGATTCCCCAAGTTACCGCTGATTGTTAAAGGGCAGTGCCAGCTGTATGGCATCAGTGACTCTAATATCCTAAGTCCACTCACCTTTCCATCCTTCACGTCTGCCTTGGGCTTCGTCAGGAATGTTTTCTGTTGATCATGGAGCTCTTCTGACTCAAATGTCTGTGGAGAAACATTTTGGCAAAGCTTTAAATTAGTGGTAATTATGAAGCCAAGGTTTTTGGTTCCTGCCAGTCAGCAACTTCTCAGGGCTCAAAATGAAAATTATATACCTACCACAGGGGATTAAAATGATTCCTTAATGTTCCTTATAATAATAACAACTATTAACTGAATCCATATAATGTAGCACTGACGGCTAAGCTTCTCACCTCATTCCTTACTTTTGCCACTACATTACAGTCCTTCTTGTTTCATCTTCACAACTCTGGGAACTATTTTTGTTTCCATTGTATCATTGATGGAACTGAGACTTTGAAAGGTTAAGCCACTTGTTAATTGTCATACAGCTAGAGAAAGTACATGGGGCTAGAGTTAAAACCAAATCATTTCAGCAACTGTGAACAATTTGAAATGTGAAAAAAAAGTTTAATAAAATATATGTCACAAGTTAAGAAAGAAAAAGGGGAGGAGGAGGCTGGAAAGGTGGGTACAGACCAATTAAGTCAAGGCAGGGAGGGCTGTAAAGGATTTACAAGACTGAAACACTTTCAGTATTTTTAAATGATCACTTTGTTATGCAATTGGAGCTTGGCTGGAGGCAGAGACATGACAAACTGAGGATGAGGGGCCTGAGGAATGAGAGGTCCTGTGCATTATCTGTAGGACAATACTTTTGAGAGATCCTTAGGGGCACACCTTCTTCCACAGCAACTCCATTTCCTTCCGAAGCATCTTGTTTTTCTTTTCCTATTAGAAGAGGAAGAACCAAACAAACAAATGTGTTTGTCTGACTGTTAACTAACTTAGAAAAAAACAGCTGTTTAATCAAAGGGATTTGTGAACACGGTAAACCACAGAGGAAGACAGTAAATGAACCTAGCATTTCATACAGAAATATAAAAGATGATTTTGATGATGATGATGATGGTAGTAGTGGTGGTTAAGAAGTTATTTCAAGCAATAACTTTTTATGGTGGCTGTGAGATATATCAGAAATAAATTCTTAACGCTTAAGATGCTTTTAGATGACAGTCGTCTCAGTGCTTAGAGCATTAACTTCTAAATTTTAAAGACCCTTTATGCATTGACTTCAAAAAGATCCAAGACTCTTTCAAAACAAGCTTTTTTTCTTTTAATTTGATAGATATGTCTAACCCTTTAGAAATGAAAAGTATTAATATGCTTATATTCATTAACCACTAGGTGAAGCTTTCTTTTTTAGGTCAAAAAAATAGAATCTTGCTAGCTAGCTCCTGCTCTTTCCAGCACCCAGCCTGATTTCCTTAGCATCTCCTTGGAGTCCCTAGATCAAAGAGATACATGGTTGACGCATCAGAGGCTAAAGATGAGCATTTGCTATTTCCATGTGTACAAGGGTGGTCCAAGCAGCTATGCTCGGTAGCATCTACTGCCAACCTCTCACCAGGTTCCGTTTCATCTCCTCGGCTTCTTTAATCAGCGCCATGACTGAAGATTCCTCATATCCCCTCCCTTCCATGATCTGCCTCATGATCTGCAGACTAGAAGAAAAGATAGAAATTGTAAAATACGCATGCCCTTTAAAACATAAAACTAATATCTGCAATCAGCCAGCAAGTAGTCTTCCATGGAGGTTCAATGGGCGCTAAAATCCTAGGAATTAGAGAGGTCCTTGACATTGAAAGTCTCTGTCACTAGCATGATTCCATTCCTAATTGACATTAGGTCTAGTTGTGTGATCAGTAGTGAATCCCTTTAATAGTCAAGTGTAGGTCTGCAACAATCACTGAAAGTACTTTCCACCCTTTGAAAAGAATGTTTTAGTGTTTGATTTGAGGGAAGGAGTGTTTGGACCTCTGTATAGAAGGAATTAAAAACCTTGACATCTTTCAAATTAATTCCAGAATTATTCCCCATCTCACAGATAAGGTAGCTCCACTTCTTTCTACTGCTCTGAGTATCCAGCTCTGATTCATTATCAAGTCTGACTATGAGAAGGATACTTTAGGCAATCATTAATTTATGTTTGTGTTATTATCCTTTTTTACTGTCTGGATCTGAGTAGAATTTAAGGTGTAGGAAGTCTATATTGCTTATTTACTAACAGTTGGTTTTTGACCACTTCTTGCTGGATTTTGTTCTCCTGAAGTCTAAGTTCCTTAAGGGCTTGTGATAATGGTATAGAAAGAAGACAGGTCAACTGAAATGGTATTTTCTATGATTAGAATGAAACAGAGACTTAGTAGTTCCTAAGAACAATGGCTATTTCAACAAAGATTTAAGATCTCAGATGCCTAGGAATGTCTCCCTAATCCAAAGAGTTCCCATGCTCAGAAAAAAAAAATCACTCTTCTGCTTGGTATAGAAGGAGCAAGTGTTCATCCTAAAGTAATTCTACCAACATCAATAAGCAAAAGTAATCAGTGATCAGCATAACAATGATGGGCCTATATGATTAAAGGCATTTAACTGTTTCGTGGGTGGTCAGAGGAAGAGTAACTGTAGCTTCAGGAGGACCAAATTATACTTATTTTAAAAAATAAAGAATTCCTATATGGCCTACTTTTGTAGTGATACATTCTTTTATATTCTACTGGAATTGAATGTACAAATTTATAAAGAAAAAACAATCAGTGATTTATTTTTAACTATTTTATTTTACTACTAATCTATGGTGATTGCATTCTCCAGCCTTTCTGTCTATAGGATGCTGAGTAGAGATGCATACCTTCTTTGCCTTTCCTCCAAGTTAGCCATTAGCTTCTGGAATAAGAGAGTGTTCTTATCTTCTAGAGGCTTTAGTATCTCTAGAAGTTCCTGCTTTCTTAACTTTAAATCTTCATTCAGTTCCTTCAAGTAGTTGTTATCTATTTTAGAATTTCTGTGGGAAGAGGTGCAATAATCTACCTTTAGCTTAGGTAAATAAAGACCCTTTCCCCCTCCTAGGTTGCTGCCGTTGACTTCCCCCATGAAAGACTCACTTTTTTGAGGACAAGCAAGATCCTGAAGAGTTTGTGCCACTTGTCATCTTGAAGGGAAATTCCTAAAGATAAAGAGGCCCTCTTGAAAATATGCGTCTTCTCTCCCCAGCCAGTTAGGACATCATTTTCTGCTGCTGTTCTTGAAGCTCCTGTTTCATTGGACTGACTTTAGCTACAGCTTGAGGTCACAATAACCCAGACCACAACATCAGCAGAGATTGTAAACAGTGTCAGGACTGCTTGATGGCTGAACATACTGAACTACAGATGAGTTGTCTTAGGTTTAGCCCAATCCAAATCCCCAACTTTTATTCGGAAATCTTCGAATGAAAAGGATAGGATCACAGCCAAATACCTGCATTATAAAACTACTGCTGCATTAGAAAATAGTGACTTATCAAAAAGAACTCACCAACACCATGGTAACAAACCTCTGTGGAAAACCTGTCTGCTCAAAAAGCTGGATTCAGTGAGTTAGGAAAAACGGAAAAGATAACAGTACCTATGTCTGGGAGCTTGGCAAAGGAAAAGATACTTCTAACCAACACTTAAAAGTGGGCAGTGGCCAAACAGGCGCACACTGTGAATGCAATGGAGTAATAGATGAGCCGTTGTCATTTTCCCCAATCTCTAAAACTCCATTATGTCAGCTGGGTGAGTCGCCCCTGTAATCTTAGCACTAGGGAGGCAGAGGTAAAGGATTGGAAGTTCAAGGTGACCTTGGGCTGTGTAGCAAGACTGTCCTTCAAAACTAACCCAAGCCAACGCAAAACAAAACTTTGATATAATGTCGAGGGACAAGGATTTGGGGCCTATAGGGAAAGGATATAGTTTGGAAAGATCTACGCTGTCAGGTGTCTTCCCCAGCTAGATTCTTTTCTGGAAGGCTATATTTCCTAGGCTCACCTCCACAGATTGATTCTGTCTTTGTGCTACCTGCATTAGAATCACATATCTTTTGGACTCTTAAGATCGCCTTTCTTATCTATGTCACTTAGGGAAGTAGAAGATAGTCCAAAGGATTATACATTTTTAAGTGTGACATTTGAAAAAAGTTTTATGGATTCATTTTTTAGGCACTATCAGATGTGGCTTTAGAGATGCCGTTTCAGAGACCGACGGACCATTACCAGCCTTTTCCTGGGCGTTTTCTCCAAAGTAATTTCAGTCCTTTATCATTAGAAAAATTTGAAAGGCAAACTGTTGCTTTAAAAAGAAAAATACAAGAACTTGATTTGGGTCTCAGTTTCACTGTGAGTATGGCTGCCTGTCAGCAAGTTCCCAAGTTCTCTGAGCCTGATGAGGTTTTCACCTTTATAAAAGAATGAGAAATATTGACCTGATAAACTTGTGAATGGGAAATGTATAATGTCAGGTGTTCGTTCACATTTAGTGAGATTTTGTTCAGTTTGGGTTTGCTTAGTGCCCCAATTAAGCGGCCAGATTTTTTTTTTAAAGTGGATATGTGTGAAGCTTAAATCACAAGAACCTTTCATTTTCAAGCTCTTCCAAAGGCTCTGAACCCTATTTTGAATTTAAAACCTCCAACCACTTTTTTGGAAATAGAGATTTCTCCCACATTACGTATGATCAGAGTCCCACAGAGTATGACTCTGCCCAGATTAGTTAGGATACAGGCCTCCCCTAAGCATCCTCGACATCAAAGTTCCTCTTAAGGCAGTCCTTACAAATACCTTTTCTAAAGTTTTCATGTGTCACTTGAAGGTTATGTGTGACAGAAATGTGATATTAAATTAGGAAAGGCACAGCATGTTAATTCATGGTGCTTGTCCTAGGACTATCCCCAAACATTTTCAACTGAAGGCGAGTAAAATGCTCACCGCTGAAAGGAGGTGGCGGGTGGGCTAGTTATTATTAATGGCATCCGAAACTACATATGTGGCAGGTGCTAGCAAATAGTAAAGGACAAAAACGGCAGTGCTCACCGAAGCAGAGCCTCTTTAAATTTCATGTTGTGACATTTGGCAGGCAGAACTGCTATAGAATATTAAAACATCTAATGGGCAGGCAGCATCCCAACTCACCTTCCTCTCTGCCCTTGCTTTGAATGACTCCAAGAGGAAAGACACTTGCTATTCTGATGTAGTCTTTTCCACAGCCAATCAGCAACGTTTATTTCCTAACATTCTGATCATCGTGCCTTCAACCTGGATTATAAATTCCGAGGTGTATCTTTGCCTTATAAGGATGTGTGTGGTTATTATAGTGAAAAGCTTTTAACAAAAAGCAATCCTCCAAACACAGAAGCCAAGTAGTATCGACGGGGCGTTCGTTGATGTTCTGTATAGAATCTAGTATAGGAAGAAGAGAGAGACATTTTAGATGATCGTTAAAGATGGAGGAACTTGCAGTAAATTTTCCTGATGTAGAAAGCTGGAGCATCTGCTGACTGGAAATGTTTGGTGGGAAAACCCTGGAAGAGTGATGGTGAGAGGTTTGGAATGGCCCCTGAGCAGCGAGAAAAGAAAGTCAACCATGCAAGAGTACAAAATACTCAACGCTTTGTAGTGCAAAAGGTCAAGGTGAATTTGGAAGCTGAAGATCTGTCATGCTAGGAATCAGCAGTTATGTAGTTTTACATCCGTAACTGGCAAACAGGAAGCTACAGTTGAGAAAAACATGATGGATTCTGGCCTGGACCTGGCAAAAGCAATGAGCAGAAATTCAAGGAAGAAGGGTTTGAGAGTCCATCAAAAGGTTTGCTGGAGTCTCCGGGGTATTCAGGATACAAAAAACAATATGATAACATTGAATGAGAGAGAACAAACAAGAAAAGAGTTGAGATTGAGGCGTGTAGGGTAGAAGAATAAAGGTTCTAGTCGATGGATGTACATCTTATGAAATGACTTGGAGAACTTCATCGCCAGTTAGATAATCATAGTAGCAATCATGATGACTTCTGCAGTAACTTTGTATATTTTGCTTCCTATCACTGCATAATCACTGAAATTCATGTGGTATCTCAAAATAGGCCTTACAACAGGTTATTCACAATGACCTCATCCAATGTTATAGCATTTGATTTTAGTATCTGTTAAGAAAAAGCGTGATTGCTCTATAATTAGAGAACTCTGAACCATTTCAGTGTTAGTTTTGCCAGCGGAAAGTCAAATTAGTCTAATTAAGTCAGGTCTCCAAAAGTGGAGGCAATTATTTTCATATTAATGCCAGAGATTAGGGGGAAAGGAAGAGGGAGAGAGGAAGAGTGGGAGGGAATTACATTTCCCTGTTGTTTATTATAATCATTTTGTTGGCTCCTTCCCCTTAACACTTGTTTTGTTAAATAATTTTTTGGGGGGTTTTGTTTGTTTTTGTTTTGCTTTGGGACAGGGTCTCACTTGCTGTGGCTGGGCTGGAGCTCGATATTTAGACCTTGACTGACCTTAAACTCACAGAGATCCACCTCCTGCCTCCCAACTGCTGGAATTAATGCACCATCACAATCTTGTTTTTACTTTTAACTGTATGTATATGTATGGGTATGTGCACATGAGTGTGGTTCTTGAAGAGGCCAGAAGAGGGCATTGGATCCCTTGGAGCTAGAGTTATAGGTGGTGATTAGCTGCCTGACCTGAATGTTTGGAACTGAACTTGGGTTCTCTGAAAGAGCAGTTTGCACTCTTAACCACTAAGCTAGCTCATCAGTGCCTCCAACCCCTTGCTTAGCTCTTTTTAGAGTTGTCTCAACCTAGTCTGTACCTACATTTAAAGAGAAACCAAGCACGTGAGATAGCTGAGATGAATTTCCTTTACTCTTGAGAGTTTTTTTTTTTTAAAGTAATACTTCGTCTTAATGTTTCCAGATTCTTGGTATAATGGTATTCAAACGAGTGTATGAATTTTCAGCTGGGTAATGATGGCACACACCTTTAATATCAGCACTCAGGAGGCAGAGACAGGTGGATCTTTATGAGTTCAAGGCCAGCCTGGTCTACAGGACAGGAGCTAGTTCCAGAACAGTCAGGGCTGTTACACAAAGAGACCCTGTCTTGAAAAACAAACAAACAAACAAAAGACAAATATACGAATTTTCACAGAGGCTTTTCAAGAAAAGTATAAGCAAGGGCTAGGAAATGGCTCAGTATGAAGATATGAGTTCAAATCTCAGAACCCATGTGAACATAGCCATGTGTGTATCTGTAAGATGTGGAGACTAAAGGATTGAAGATGCTTACTGGTTTCCACACAATTCCAGTTCACTGAGAGATCCTGTCTCAAGGTAATAAGGCCAAGAGTAATAGAGCAGGACACTAGACATTCCTCTCCCGACCTCCAGTGCACAGATGTGTGTGCCCTAATCCCCTCCTCAACACTCACAAAGGAAGAAAGAGAAACAGAGAAGAAAAGGATATTTTTCAGAGAAGATTTTTCTGGATCCTCAATTTCCCCAAGAATTCCACACTACTATGGATGTGCCTGAGAGTGCTTCTTAGTCTCATTTTCACCTCCCTTTCCAGGTGCATTTTGCTCACTTAAAGAGTGGAATGCATTGTAACCGTCTTGAATCTTATTTCAGTGACTTGCTTTGAGGGTGTGAAAAATTCTTAAAGGCATTCAAAACTTATAATGCAAAATGTTGGTGTCGAGGCTAGTAAAAGTAAAGGACCATTAGTGACCAGGAATCTGGTTCCAGTTCTTTGCTCTCAGCAAAAATAAGAAATAGCTCATTAGATTGCCAGTTTAGGTTTATAAGAATTCAATTTTGATAATGAATTACTATTTGAATTTTGGCTTGTAATTCAGAAGGAGTTTCAAACACTTGAAAAATATTGCTATAATAAATACCTTCCATCTCCATCTACTTATTTATATACAAGCTTTTTCCCAGTGAGGATTGCATGTAACAAAAACAATATGAATAGAAGTGATTTTGAAAGGCTATTTTATTCAAGGAGTAAGTATAAATACATGGATTAAGCGTGGGGAAATGCTATCATATTAATAGAATTGTTTTACTTAGAAACTGTTTTTGAAATAGTCAAAACTTCTGTCACAAACATGTTATGTCAGAAACAGATTTGTGTCT